ATTCCGGCCACTGCACTCCAGTCTGGGCAACAGAGTGAGACTCCAACTCAAAAAAAAAAAAAAAAAAAAAACTATGTCTACAAAGTTTTTAAATTTTTTAATTTTGTGAAGCACACAAGAGTCTCAAAACCACTCTGTGAAGTAGAAAAATATTTTACAAGAAAAAGTCAGTGCTCAGAGAAGTTAAATGATTTGTCTAAAGTCACACAGTAATAAAGTTACAAAATTGGGATTAGAACTAAGTCTTCTGAATCTAATGCAGTTAAAACCAGAGTCCTATCTTCTGATTCTTAATATAGCCTTCCTTCCATGAACAGATGAATATGACCCAAAGGCTGGCCATATTCCTGGTTTGTTTGTTTTCCCATTACAGTGAATACTCAATAGTCTTAATAATGAAGGAGGACACTTGATGTTATACAGGGGAGATAAAATACTAGATTGGCTTTCTTTCATAATAAAAGTGGTTAAGACTTCACCTGTAAGACATGTGGATTAATTCCCAGTGAAGATGCAATATGTGTTGAGGCAGACACAGGTTCCTGATCCTCAGGCATGCTCTCTTCTAACATGGAATCCAACACTGGCTCCTGTGTGATATCTACCATGTCACTGTCCAGATCCACAACCCTCCCCAATTGCTCCACCTCTGGGCTCTGGCTCTGTAGACAGCAGAAAGAGCAGGAAAGCAGCATTAAATTAGACCAAACAAATACAGAGGTTCTAGATCAGATTCAATTTATTCAGAATATGACATAGCAATATTAGATTCTGCCCATTCTATCATGAGGTAAGGTAGTGGATTTGCTAAAGAGAGATTTAACACCAATTAGACACGTGGTGGTTTTCAGAAACAAAGACTATGCCGTCCCTGATATAGCTAGCAATTACAATTTTCTGATTTACAGTGTCATCCTGCCCTCATATTGCCTTGTAGCCAGAAGTCACTGGAAAAAGATAGCAAAAGGTACAAGAATCAAAATCTCCAGTAACTACATTTTCTTAAAAAAAACATTTAGAAATAAATTTCTAGTCAACACAGTTTTAGGTCTGAAATTTATTTTTTGGGTGGCTGAATCCTTAGGTTAGTTGGGCTCTACCTGAATACTACTATGTAAGATACAAGGAATGCCTACCCTTATTTCCCCAAAATAAAGTAATAATTGCAGAAACAATCTTAACCTTGGAATAACCAACTCCTTTATGGCTAAAAGTGTCAAAAGTTAATTTATGTTTACTGAGCAGTTTTATTTTATTACTATTATTATTATTATTGAGTTGGGGTCTCACTTTGTTACCCAGGTTGGAATGTAGGGGCACAATCACAGCTTACTGCAGCCTCAATCTCCAGGGCTCAGGAGATCATTCCACCTGTCTCCCAAACAACTGAGACTACAGGTACGTGCCACCATTCTCTGCTAATGTTTTGTAAAGACAAGGTCTTACTATATTGTCTAGGCTGATCTTCAATTCCTGAGCTCAAGTAATCCTCCTGCCTCAGCCTCCCAAAGTGCTGGGATTATATGTGTGAGCCACAGCACCTGGCCTATTATGCAATTTAAAAAATATAATCATGGGGCAATCCCTTTGGGTCCCCTCCCACTGTGGGAGCTGTTCTGTTGTCTCAATACATCCTGCTTTCTAAAATAAAAATTAAAAAAAATTATACATATGTAATCATGATTAACATTTTATGATTTGAAAGGGTACTCATACCTGTAAAATAGTTGGCTCAGTACAAATTCTGTATTTGTATTTTTAAAATGTTAACAAATGACAAAGCCAATTTATGAAACATTTTCAAACCAAAAAGCCCTAACAATTATTTTTCTTATCATGACTTCATTTGCAGATTATTTTCCTTCAACAGTTTCTAACTAGCCTGGGCATGGTGGCTTACACCTATAAACCCAGCACTTAGGGAGGCCAATGTGGGAAGACTGTTTTGAGCCAGGGTTTGAGACCAGCCTGGGCAACATAGCAAGACCTCATCTCTATAAAAAATAAAAAAATTAGTCAAGCATGGTGGCATGTGCCTGTGGTTCCAGCTACTTGGGAGACTGAGGTAGAAGGAATGCTTGAATCAAGAAGGTCAAGGTTGCAGTAAGCCATGATTGTGCCATTACACTCCAGCGTGGGTGACAGAGGGAAACACCACCACAAAAAAACAAAAAAAAGCTTCTGAATGATCTTCAACGAATGATCCATTTGATGCTAATCCTCAAATGGATGTTATTTTACACTAAGTGGTTCACTTTGGACAGCTTTCTTAATTTCATCTTAAATTGAATACTAGCTATATATCCTGCATTTCTCTTCAAAAGTCTTTGCTAAAAGAATGAATGTGCCCCATGTATAACTGCAGAAAAATTGAGATACTGGATTTGTGGTGAATTATCACTTAAGATGTGAACAATTCCTAAGGACTACTCTCATAAAACTGGAAGCTAGATAACGATCAAAAGGCATAGATGATACTATTTTTTCACCTACTGGGGAGGCTACAAGCTGGTCTACTTTTATGCTTTAAAATACTAGGACAGGTGAAAGCCTTGGTGAGGATGATCCCATTTTAAGAACTGTAAAAAAAACTCTCAAACTTTGTAAGTTCCAAAATATATTAATTTTGAACTACATGATTCACTTTATAGAAAAGTTTTGATACTCCTGATCCTCTGTCCATCTATCAGGACACTGTACTCTGTTTGACTCCTGTAATCCCCTATTTATATCTACTTTATACCATGTACCATGATATATGATTTCTTGCATACATACTTTTTATGTATATGTATATATATATATTTGGTTCACCAGATTATCAAAGTTTGAAAACAGGGTTTATGACTTCCTGTTTTCTGTATTTAACATCAAACACGATAGACTGAGCTAAGTTCAACAGTCATCGAACATTTACTTTGTTAATTCTATGGCTTAATGCAGTGACCGGCACAGTAGATAAAGCAATTAGTATCTATGAAAGGATAAAGAGTAAGAACTGAGAGGAGGAAAAGAAGTAGGGGGAGGATGGTTACAACTGACTATACTACTCAACAGAGAAATATTACTAACAGCAAGAGATGTTCACCCGAACACATTTAAGCAAAATGAGAGGATTTCATTTTGAATAATGCTAAAGATGAAGGCTTTATTTACTCCACTCTCAACCTAGACTGTAGAGCAACAAGATATCATCTAATACATGGACAAAGTGGAAGGGAATTACTATAAAACTATGGTAAGCCCTAGAATCCCCTACATGTGAATTTTGTTAAAGTATATCTAAGTAATTACAATAAACTCCCCCAAAAGCTACCTGTGTACTTATCTTCAGGGAAATCTTGACAGATTGGGTACTTCTTCAAAGTCCATCCTATAAAGAAAAGTGGACTAAAAAAAAAAGAAATGAGGGGATAGGAGACAGGGTGAAAGGCCTACTGGGAGGTCTATAGAAAAGAAAGGTATGCAGAAGAAGCTGACTAGGATATCACTTTAACTCTCCCTTTCCCACAATGCAATCTCTTGAAGACAGGATTATACTTATTTCTATTTCTTTTTTTTTTGAGTTGGAGTCTCACTCTGTTGCCCAGACTGGAGTGCAGTGGCCGCTTCCGGACAGCACGGCCTCAACCTGCTGGGCTCCGGCGATCCTTCCGCCTCAGCCTCCTGAGTAGCCAGAATAACAGGCGCGCGCTACCATGTCCAGCTAATTTTTTGATTTTATTGTAGAGATGAGGTCTCGCCTGCCCAGGCGGGTCTCGAACCCGCGGGCTCAGGCAATCCACTCACCTCAGCATCCCAAAGGCGCAGAATTACAGGCTGAGCCACCGAGCCCGGCTACTTATTTCTAAATACCAGCTTTCAAGTACAAATACTAATTACATAGCTAATATCTGTAAGATGACTAGACAGACAGTAAGGTTTTACAACTGGAGCCTTCAGTGACTTGAGAAACCTGCATTCTCCTACTCAAAAAAGAATCTTCCTCATTCAAACAAGGCTGCTGATACCTTAAAGACACAGCATCTCTTGATGCAGCAGAAAGGGTGAGATACATCAAGACATCCTTATTCAACAAAGAGTGAATGACCTAAGGTCAAGCAGATGTTTAAATAATTCATTCTGTCCTCTCAGTCAAATAGTTGAATATCCAATATAACTACTATTGGCTGACTCCAAAAGAACTTTTTTCTTTTTTTTTTTGAGTTGGAGTCTCACTCTGTCGCCCAGACTGGAGTGCAGTGGCTGCTCCCGGCCACCGCAGCCTCAACCTGCTGGGCTCCGGCGGTCCTTCCGCCTCAGCCTTCCAAGTAGCTGGAAATACAGGTGTGTACTACCACACCCGGCTAATTTTTGATTTACTGTAGAGATGAGGTCTCGTCAAGTTGCCCAGGTGGGTCTTAAACCCATGGGCTCAGGCAATCCACTCACCTCAGCCTCCCAAGGCGCAGGATTACAGTCTGAGCCAACGAGCCCGGCTAGAACTTGCTTTTTTAACTGTAAAGAATGTTTTATATTTATTTTGTTTGACAAACAAAACTATCAACATTACTTTGTTCTCCTCAAGTAAAACTCCATGTTAGATTTTAAAGGTCCACCAAGCTAAGTATGTGTGTTTTCTACTCATATACTCCAGGATATTACTGAAGGAGGCATAGGTGTTAACATTAATAACTTTACATTTGATTTTAAAATATAAATTTGCAATATTTTTAAATTTGCAAAAAAGTTTTCAGGCTAAAACATTAAGAAATTTAATAGCATCTGAAACAAATAAGCTTGTGGTTATAAGAATATCTAACATATGTTACATATAAAAATTACATAAAATAGGCCAGGCATAGTGGTTCATGCCTGTAACCCCAATACTTTAGAAGGCCAAGGCAAAAAGACGGCCTGAGCCCTGGATTTTGAGGCCAACCTGAGCAACATAGCGAGACCCTGTCTTTACAATAAATCAAAAAAATTAGCCAGGCGTGGTGTCATGAGCCTGTAGTCCTAGATATCTGGAAGGCTGAAATGGAAGGAAGGATCACCAGAGCCCAGCAGGTTGAGGTGTGGTAGCAATGATCATGCCACTGCACTCCAGCCTGGGTGGGCTACAGACTGAGGCTACTACTCAAAATAAAGAAATAAAGAATATTTTTAAAATTTATGTTGATTTGGCTGGTCTGAAGGTAGTGAGTTATCGTTCACAGTCAGTTACAGATTGAACTCCTTCTTTTACTCTCTCCCCCATTCTCACTACTATACTTATCTGGTCTAAAACACACACACACACACACACACACACACACACACACACACACACACACACACACATATTTTGATTCATTGGATAAACTCAGCTGCCATTTTATCTCAAAGTATATACAAAATGAAAAGAAATTTTCTTCAAAATCCTAGTAACATTTTTCCTTTAAAAAAGTTTTAACTTACTTGAATAGATTCACTAAGTGAACAATGACATCAATTAGTCTGCCTTGATGGTGCTAAACACAAATACTCCAGTTACAAGAGTGAGGTAAAAAGCTATATGTATCTCTACCTGAGTACCAAAGGTCTGAGGTCTTTTAACAAACAGTTTTGAAACCTGGTTGCACATCTCTATCACTTGGAGAGAAGCATTAAAATATAAAAATGCCTGAGCCCCTTGAAAGTTCTATGGGCCGGACTCGGTGGCTCAGCATGTAATCCTAGCACTTTGGGAGGCCGAGGTGAGTGGACTGCCTGAGCCTGCAGGTTTGAGACCTGACCGAGCAACTTGGCGAGACCTCATCTCTACAATAAATCAAAAATTAGCCGGGCATGGTAGCGTGCGCCTGTAGTTCCAGCTACTTGGAAGGCTGAGGCGGAAGGATTGCCGGAGCCCAGCAGGTTGAGGCTGCGGTGGCCAGGAGCGTGTCACTGCACTCCAGTCTGGGCAACAGAGTGAGACTCCAACTCAAAAAAAAAAATTCTGTGGTATCAAAGTAAAACTCACCAGGGTATTGATGCAGCCAACTGCAAACTGGATTTCAGACAGGGGTTTTGAAACTAGTGTTTTAACTATAGAACGAAATATTTCTGTAACTGCTTTAATTCACCCGTGTGACTAAGGTTTATCTGCCAACATTTAATCTAAAAGGTATAGGAGACAAGATCAAATGAAAATTTAGCTACCTTTATGTTTTCTGGTTGCTTAGATTTACTTGCCTTTTTAGGGACAAAAGCAAGGCTTAAAGAACCAACTGGAAACAAGTGACTGAGGATATTACAGAAAAAGAGTGGAATAAATATGACCATTAAACAAGAATGCAAATCTTCCTAAATATCTAAAGAAACACCCTTCCCTTCCCCAGAAAAAGTCAGAGAGCCTGAAGTTGTGAAATCGACCTCTCCAAGGGTCCAGGTGACCAAATGTAAAGTAATCCTAACACGTGGATAAGAAGAGTAAGCGGCTTGTTCCCAGTTAACTCAGATGGCTTAAGTATTTCCCCTATGCCAAGTAAAATGGAGGGTCTTTGGTGCTAACATCAAATCACTGATATTTCTCATTTGCCTTACCTAGGTCACTGAGAAATATGAAAGAGTTCTCTAGAACCCCACATTTCTGCTCTAACACCCCAAGCTCAAGACCTTCATAAATAATGCAAGTAAACAAAACCTAAAATCTGGATATCTGAACACCTCTACCCATTTCTCTCATTTCTGCTCTCTCCATCCAAAACTACAAAGACCATCCACTTTCTCTATCAAAACTGTATCCTATTTGCCCATTCTGAATCCTTACCACCTCTCTTTTTGCTAGAACCTTCTTCTGAAATTTTCTGGTGCTTAATTTTTCAAAGTGTTCTCACCTATAGGTCATTATAGGAATTTACAGTTATTTTCTAGTATTTCTATTTTGGCAATAAATGAACCTGATAACCACTGATTGTCAACATTACATAAATTTTCCTGTCTGTCCATAGATCAAGCTTTTCTATTACAGCTGGACCAACTGGAAAGAGGAAAGAAGTATCTGAAGTATCTTTAGGATCCTACATATTACTTTTATTAGCAGAAAATAAGGCCACCTGGACTTTTTCTAAGAAATATATATAATGTAAGATTAGAAAACACGTGAGAAAGAGATGATACAAGGCATATGTTTCAGAATGAACATGAGCAACTGAAAAACCAAATCTATTTACAGCATTTCATTAGTTCATTGGCAATTTCTTGGGGAAATTCTAAATGCTATGACAATTACAAACATAAAAGTCAACACAGTTCCAGTTTCTCATATTTATCATACCCTCCCCTGCCCCAATACACACCAACATGAACATACACACATTCTCCAAAAAATGCCTCCCAAGATATTATTTAATAAATCATAAAAAGCACACATTTCAGCAGCCATAAGGATTGCAGCATGGAAAATTCCAAAAATTCAGCTTTTAGCAGCTGAGAGGTAGAGGATGCTTTACAAAGAAATCCCATATCAATGATACAAGTAATTGCAACAAACAATGCGGCCCTTATTCTCCCCAAGCCAAATAATTCATTTACATTCCAAAACTATTTCCATGAAGATTATGAATTGTTAAAATACAAATACCAAGAGGTAACCTGAAGTGTAAGCAAACAACTTGAGAAAATGCAGTTAAAAACCCTTGCAGAAAGCTAAATCAAAGTTTCTTAAGATCATGAAGGTAAAAGATCAAACTACACATTAGGTAGTCAATACAAACAGGGTTACTTTGCATCCAACCCACATGAGCAAAATGCTATCTCAAGTCAATCACTGAGCAGAGAATTCAGCAAGTCCAAATGAGAGGGAGGAGTTTAAGAGTGACAATCTGTAGAGAAATGATCCAAACAGCAAGGAAATTCGTTACATCTCTCTTTAGTTAAAGACAGATGCCTGTACCACCTCATGCCCTCCCTTGTACTTGTATCAACGTGATTGCCAATACGTATGTACTCTTCAAAGTTCCAGGGATCATACAACAGCTTTGCACTAGCTGAATGACTTGCTTTCAACTTCTGTATCACGGATTCCATTGAAATTCACTGTCCTTTCTCTACCTGGGGTGGAGGTGCAGGTTTGCCATTAAGAGCCATCTGGACAGGAGTAGCCTGGCCTGCAGGAGGCAAAGGAGTAGTCTTCAACTTCTTTGTACTCGTTTTAGATGGATGCTCCTCTTCCTCTTCATCAGAATCCTGAAGGCCATACTTAGAAAAATGGGAGACCTAATAAAGTGAAGAACCCAACAAAATCAATTTAAATGCTGTTCTTTTCAGAAGCCTCCACAATACTTGCCATGCAAGCTTGCAGCATTAACTTAAGAAAAAATAAATAAAAGGAGAAACATCTAACTATTTAAACCAAGACAGAATGTCACTTACACTTTGTTGCTTTCCCAAGAGTTAAAAAATGTTTGGAGTATGTACCAGTTACTCATATCATTAAGTTAATAAATATTATGTAATATGTAGTAAAATGTCATTGAAAATGCACTAATTGTGCCAGGCACAGTGGCTCATGCCTGTAATCCCAGTACTTTGGGAGGCCAAGGTGGGAGAATCTCTTGAGCCAAGTTTGAGAATAGCCTAGGCAACATAGTGAGACCTCGTCTCTACAAAATAAAGAAAAATTAGCCAGGCATGTTGGCGTGCACCCATAGTCCCAGCTACACAGGAGGCTGAGATGGAAGGATCACCTAAGCCCAGCAGGTCGATGCTGGGGTGGCTGAGTGTGCCACTGCACTCCAGCCTGGGCAACGAAGTGACTCCAACTAAAAAATAAATTTTTTAAAAATTTATTGTAGAGATGAGGTCTTGCCACATTGCCCAGGCTGGTCTCGAACCTGTGGGCTCAGGCAATCCTCTCACCTTGGCCTCCCAAAGTGCTGGGATTATAGGCGAAAAACCACCATGCCTGGCTGTAAATGTTATAAATTTAAAGAAATACCACTGTACTCCAGCCTGTGTGACAAAGCAAGACCTTGTCTCAAAAAGTAAGTAAATAAATAAAATACAATCATTAATATAGGAAACTAAATTCAAAAAATCTATTACTAGATTCACATACATGTATCTCCTAGTTGTTCTCTACCTACACAAAGGCCTTCAACAAGTTAAATAATCTAACCTGCCTAGAATAGGAACATCATGTCAATAAACCATCAAGGACAGAATAGAACTATCCCCAAAATTTTTAAGTGTAAGAATGATCATTATTTAGGAAGAGTTGATCTACCAAGAGACAAAGAATTCTGCCTGATAAATTACTGAAGTCCCTGATCCTGCCACATTAGGAAAACTACACCTTAGAAATTTATCTAGATGCTCATAAGAGGGGGTAGAGAACTTAAATCATGTGGTCATAAAGTTTATAATAGTTCATTATTGCTGAGTTTTACTAGGTGTGGAATTTGGACTAAACCATGATGTATCTTTACTTCTGTTTCCTAATTTATAAAAATAAAGAATTTAAGAAAGGATCTTTTCCTATATTTTGTGACTCCAAGTATAGTCTAACTAGGTTAAGTGACTGTACCTTAAATACCCAAGAACCCGTTTCAGGTCGGTACTCTTTGAACTGAGCTCCCTGTTTCCTTGAAACTGCTTCCAATCTCCCTTCATAGTTGATATCAGCAAGTCGATCTGGGCTCTTTATTAAACAACGAGATGTTTTATCTGTTGGCCAAACTCCATCCAATGTAACTTCAGCCTTCCTGTAAAGTATAACAAAGTAGAGTGTAAATGTTTCATATTTAAGACCAGAAAGCCACCTAACTATTTAGATAATGGCTACCTTGGAATTAATCTGCATGTGTTTCATAAACTTGAGTCTTGCTTTCCATAGTATATAAACTTTAAGAGCAAAGAGTCACCCCTACAATGACTAACTTAATATCTGGTTCTAGGGCCAGACTGCATTTATTTCAAATGACCATGGTACATCAATCATTTCCAATCTAATTATAAACAATATTTATGCTAGGAATATTTGTCTAAGGTATTTAGGTCACATTCAGGTGGTAAGAACCAAGTCTTAGTGTAGGTCTTTTTTTTTTTTTTTTTTTTGAGTTGGAGTCTCACTGCATTACCCAGGCTGGAGTACAGTGACACACTCACGGCTACCCCAGCATCGACCTGCTGGGCTCTGGCGATCCTTCCGCCTCAGTCTTCCAAGTAGCTGGAACTATAGGCATGGGCTACCATATCCAGCTAATTTTTTATGTATTGTAGAGATGAGGTCTCACCAAGTTGCCCGGGCTGGTCTCGAACCCACAGATTCAGGCAATCCACACCCCTCGACCTCCCAAAGTGCTGGAATTACAAGCTGAGCCACCGAGCCCAGCCCTTAGTGTAGGTCTTAAGGTGCTACTGTACTTAACGATAGTAATAAAAAATAAACTAATATCAATGAATAAAAACAAATGCTTATATAATGAAGTGTCAGGAACATCAATGTGAGGATGACTACAACAGTGGTAGTATACCACTTCTGATATCAATATCAGAGTCCAAGTGTTGTGTCCTATTCATTTTGTATGCCTTGCTCCTAAATACAATTACTAGCATATAATAGGTAGGTGCTACTCCCCATTTCTCCCTTCTTGAAGCCCCTGGCAACCACCACTCTACTTTTTCTCATAAATGTGACTTATCTGGATAGCTTATAAGTGGGATCATATAGCATTTGTATTTTTAAGGCTAGCTTATTTCACTCAGCATAATATCTTCAAGGCTCATCTAAGTTGCAGTAGGTGTCAAAGTTTACTTCCTTTCTAAGAGTGAATAATAGTTCATTGTATCTATATATCATATTTTGTCTATTTATTCACTCATCAATGAATACTCAAGGGCACTTTCACCTATTGACTATTGTGACTAGTGTTGCTATGAACATGGAGGCAAATACTGGAGAACCCGTTTTCAATTTTTTTGGGGATATATACCCATAACTGGAGTTGCTGGTTCATACAGTAATTCGATTAACTTTTTTAGGAACTCCCAATCCTGTTGTCACACAGTCACACCAATGGTGCACAAAGATACACATTTTTTCACATCCTTGTCAACACGTTAATTTTTTTAAAAATAGCAACCATCCTAATAGATATGGCATCTCATTGTGCTTTTCATTTGATGACTGTTGGTTATTTATATGTCACCTCTGGAGAAATGTCTCTTTACATTCTGGCTATTAGCTTCTTATCAGATACATAACTTGCAAATCTTTTCTCCTATTTTTGTAGCTTGTCTTTTTATTCTTTCTGTCTTCTTCTGCTGTACGGAAGTTTTTCAGGCTGAAGTAGTGCCGTTTGTCTATTTTTGCTTTTGATGTTTGTACTTTTTGGTGTAATATCCAAGAAATCATTGTTAAATCCAGTGTGTGAAGCTTTTCCTCTAGGTTTTCTTCTAGGAGTTGTAGGCCTTACTCTTAGGTATTACATTCATTTTGAGTTAATTTTTGTTTATGATGTAAGAGCCCAGCTTCATTTTTTTGCATGTGGATATCCAGTTATCAAAGTATAACTTGTTGAAGAAACTGTCTGCTCCCCCACTGAAAAATCTTTACATCCTTGTTGAAAATCATTTGACCATATACATGAGATTTTTATATCTGGGATCTCTATTCTATTCCATTGGTATTTATGTCTACCTTTATTCTAGTACCACATTGCTCTGATTATTGTGAATACATAACAAGTTTTGAAACTGACGAGTATGAGACCTCCAAAGTGTTGTTCTTTCTCAAGATTGTTTTGGCAATTTTGGGTTGAATGTTAACAAGAATCTTCCTATTTCTACAAAACATGTTCCTGAGCTTTTGATAGACACTGCATTAAATTTTTGTATTACTTTGAGTAGAATTGACATTTTAACAATATTAAGTCTTCTAACCTATGAACACACTTTGTCTTTTTGTTGTTGGAGTCTCACTCCATCGCCCAGGCTGGAGTGCAGTGGCATGTTCACGGCCATCACAGCATGAACCAGCTGGGCTCAGATGATCCTTCTACCCCAACCTTCCAAGTAGCCAGAACTACAGGTGAGTGCTGCCACGCATGGCTAATTTTATTGTAGAGATGAGGTCGCACCAAGTTGCCTAGGCTGTTCTCGAACCCGTGGGCTCAGGTAATCCCCTCACCTTGGTCTCCCAAAGTGCTGGGATTACAGGCTTGAGCCACCATGCCCGGCCACAGTTTGTCTTTTAATTTATCTGTGTCATCTACAATCTTTCAGCAATGTTTTGTAATTTTCAGTATACAAACTATCTACTTCCTTAAATTTATTCATATATATTTTATTCTTTTTGTTGCTATTGTAAACGGAAATTGCTTTCTTAATTTTATTTTCAGGTGCTTCACTGTTAGTGTCCAGAAGTTAAACTGATTTTTGCATGCTGATTTTGTATCTTGTCACTTTGCTGAATTTGTTATAAATACTAAGGTTTTTCTGTGTTATCTTTAGGGTTTTCCACATACAGGATCACGTCATCTGAGCGCAAAGATAATTTTACTTCTTCCTTTCAAAATTATGTGGCTTCTACTTTCTTTCTGATGCCTACTTGCAGTAGTATGTTTAAGAGAAGTGGCAAAACTGAGCATGTGTTGTCTTGTTTTAGAGGAGAAACTTTTAAGTATTTCAACATTATGATGTTAGCTGTGGGTTTTTCATATATGCCCTTTATTATATTGAGAGTTTCCTTCTATTGCTAGTTTGTTGAGTATTTTTATTATGAAAAGTTGTTGAATTTTGTCAAATGCTTTTTCTGCGTCAATGATAATGATCATGTGGTGTTTTTCCTTTAGCCTGTTAGTGGTATATTTGACTAACTGATTTACATGTTGTCATCCTTGCATTCCAGAATAACAGAATAAATCCCATTTGCTCACGGCACATAATCCTTTCAAAGTGCAATTAAATTCTGCCAGTGCTTGTTTGATGATTTTTTTCCCATCAATATATTTGCCAATTGGTCCACAGTTCTGTTTCCTTGTTGTGCCCTTTCACTAACTTTAGAATTAGGGTAGGCTATGAATTTCTCTTCAATTTTTTGGAAGTTTGAGGAGTAGTGGTGGTAGTTATTCTTTAAGTGTTTGGTAGACTTCACCAGCGAAGCCATCTAATTCTAGGCTTTTCTATGTTGAGAGGTTTTGACTACTGATTCAATCTCTTTATTATAGGTCTGCTTATATTTCTTATTTCTTCATGATTCAGACTTGGCAGGCTATAAAAGATAAATGATTTCAACTATAGCCCTTTTACCTGCCTGAAGAGAAAATAGAAGCTAGGATAACACACTAAAATAGAGGATTAAGGATGGGCACGCTATAAATTAGGAAAAACCAAAATACTATTATTAAAATGTTTTCAAAACTAGCAGTTGGATGCAATATTGGGGAAAAGGAATAAGTCCAAAATCATAGTGCAGTACTTCCTTATCATTTATACTTTTAAATTTAAGTGGAGAAACGGTAAGTCAGAAAAGCAAGTTGCAGAAGCATGTATCTAAAGCCATTTATGTTTACAGAAAAAAATTGTGATTCAGCTGATAATTTTCTATATATATGCACATAAATCAATACCTATTTAGGCCTTCACCCACAGGTGGTTTCTGGTTATCATCTAAGTAGACAATCACTTCTTTCCTTCGGATATGCACAATATCATCCAAATTTAGATTAGTCAAATTCACCTCTCCTTCAAAATAGATTGAACCATAACCTACAAGTCAGAGCAAACAGTTAAAATTCATTCTGTATAAAGGCAAATACCTACTTTAAAACTACAGTGATTAAGCAATAATAAGGAGCAAGCAGCTTTAAATATTAAATAATATTTTAAATCATTCAGCAATTCCTAGAATATTAAGAATGGGGATAGAGAATGACATCAATAAGACTGTTATCAGATTTAATATATGCATTTTTATACTTCTGCTACCCTCAAACAACCTTTTAAAAGCTCTTACCAAGTATTTATAATGCTGCTATATGAGCAACCCTTAGTACTTAGCATGCCATGTAAGTTAACACGCTTGAGCCCTTTGTTAATACAACATAGCATGATGAGATATTCCCCCCAAGAAAATTACGTTTTCAGTATTAACTTAAAATTGAACCTAAGGCTGGGCTTGGTGGCTCAGCCTGTAATCCCAAGTTTTGGGAGGCCGAGGTGAGTGGATTGCCTGAGCCCGCGGGTTTGAGAACCGCCTGGGCAACTTGGCAAGACCTCATCTCTACAATAAATCAAAAAATTAGCCGGGCGTGGTGGTGGGCGCCTGTAGTTTCAGCTACTTGGAAGGCTGAGGCAGAAGGATCGCCGGAGCGCAGCAGGTCGAGGCTGCAGTGGCGGGAAGCAGCCACTGCACTCCAGTCGGGGCAACAGAGTGAGACTCCAACTCAAAAAAAAAAAAAAAAAATTGAATCTAAGCATTACACATTTCATCAATTATTCTATTTTCTCACTTAGTATGTCTTGAAATTTCTAATGTTTTCTTTAATTGTAGAAAACTGTAATGATCCAAATAATTACCAACACCAAAGAGGATACCTCAGCCCAAAGAACACTGCATAGTTCGATGCTACTTAGGAGGCTGCTGAAGAGGGAAGACTGCTTGAGCCCAGGAGTTTAAGACCAGCAACATAATGAGACCACTGTCTCAAAGAAAAAAAAAATGATATATGATTCTAGTCTTTCTTGTTTTATTACTTCTGAAAGTATGTAAGATTCAGGCCAAGGTGGGCCATAGTGTGTGAAGAAACAGAGCCAGCTATCAAGAGCTTCCCTTAATTACAAAAACACAGTACAAATCTCTGGCTTAATTACTAACTCCTAAACTCACACTCACCTTTACGACCAATAGTGAAGTCAGAGACAATGCACTCTCCTTTATCATTGGTAATTTTCGCAAGGTCATCCATAGAGGGGATAGTATAGTAACCAACTTTAGTCAGAACAATGCCTATGGCCAAGAAAACAGAAAAAAAATTACTAGCTGAAATAATCAGTAAGTAAATCATCATAAAAAGAGAAAATAATAAATCATCATATAAAGAGACAATAGACAGGAACGAAGAATTTTTCCAAACTGGTTTTTTACCAAATTCTAATCCTAGGAGAGGTCATGTGTTTTTTGTTTGTTTGCTTGTTTGTTTTTGAGTTGGAGTCTCACTCTGTCGCCCAGTCTGAAGTGCAGTGGCCGCTCCTGGCCACCGCAGCCTCGACCTGCTGGGCTCCGGCGATCCTTCGTCTCAGCCTTCCAAGTAGCTGGAACTACGTGCTACCATGCCTGGCTAATTTTTTTTTATTTATTGTAGAGATGAGGTCTCACCAAGTTGCCCAGATGGGTCTCGAACCCGCGGGCTCAGGCAATCCACTCACCTCAGCCTCCCAAGTCACGGGATTACAGGCTGAGCCACCAAACCTGGCTGTTTTGTTTTTTAAATTCAAAATTGGCTGAGCATGGTGGCTCAGCCTGTAATCCCAGCACTTTGGGAGGCCAAGGCGAGAGGACTGTCTGAGCCCGTGGGTTTGAGATCAGACTGGGCAACTTGGTGAGATCTTATCTCTACAATAAATCACAAAAACTAGCTGGATGTGGTGGCTTGCATCTGTAGTTCCAACTACTTGGAAGACTGAGGTGGAAGGATTACCTGAGATCAGCAGGTCGACGCTGGGGTGGCTGTGAGCCTGTGTACCCCTGCTCTTCAGCCTGGGCAATGGAATGAGACTCCAACTCAAACAATAAAAATAGTAAGTTAATTAATTAGTTAATAAATTAAATCAATCCAAGGTCAAATAAGTTTGAGGAACATACACATGATAGCATATCAAACACTAGAATATAATGAAGTCTATTAATCCTTGCTTAACTTAGTGTTTCCCAGACTTAATTAACTACAGATACTCTTTTCAAAGTACATCTATTAACATCCTGCACTATAAAAGTCATTCCATAAAACATACTCTTTTAAACCATTTTTACTTTACACACAAAAATACCAAAACTAAAGTTGAAAATAATTTTCCTTGGACTGTATTATAATTTAATGAGAGTAGTAGAGATAAAATTCTAAACCCAACACTTTTTGTTTCACAGCATACTGTCTTTCATAGACTGTATTCCCAAATAGAGAGTTAAAATCAAGGTGGAAAATCTTACATGAGAAAGTTCCATATAAAAATGTAAACTTAAAGGCTTGCAATTAGTGTTAGTTTAAAAAAGCATCAAATAGATAGATTTCAGGGAAACCTAAGTGATATTTGATGGCCAAAGGAAAAGAAATACTAAAGCAGAGAAGGATTTCACAACACATCCAAAAAGTAGAGATGCAGATGACAAAAAACAAAACAAACAAGAAAAAGATGAAGAACTCAAAGAAAGTAGTGAATTCCCTCCTTGTCCCATTTGTAGTTAGGTATCAGGCTACCTTGCTCTCTAAGAGAAAAGTATTAAGGCTGACATTGGATAAAACTCCAGCCTCCAGCAACATCCACTTACATATCTGCTTCTTTAGTTGCAAGATTTAGAGGGCTGTTTGAGCATTTGGGAAGGGAAGTCTAAATTGGGCAGCAGCAAACAAGGTCAATGATAAGACTAGAAACAACATAAAACTTAATGGCTGGGTATTTGAGAAAAAGATGTAGTATCATGATAAATTCATGTAGACACACACAGACACAAATACAGCTACAAAATTTGGGATTTTTTTTTTTTTTTGAGTAGGAGTGTCACTCTGTCATCCAGGCTGGAGTGCAGTGGCACACTTGTGGCCACTGCAGTAGCCGGAACTACAGGCACACACCACTACGCCGAGCTAATTTTTTAAATTTATTGTAGAGATGAGATCTCACCAAGTTGCTAAGGCTGGTCTCAAACCCCTGGGATCAGGCAACCCTCTCGACTTTGCCTCCCTAAATACTGGGATTACAGGCATGAGCACCAGGCTAGAAATAGGGATTTTTTTTTTGAGTTGGAGTCTCACTCTGTCACCAAGGTTGAAAGACAGTAGCATGCTCCTGACCACCACAGCCTCAACTGCTGGGCTCAGGAGATCCTTCCACCTCAGTCTTCCCAGTAGCTGGAACTACAGGAACATGATGAGGCCTTGCCAAATTGCCCAGCTTGGTCTAGAACTCGCAGGCTCAGGCAATCCTCTCACTTTGACTTCCCAAAGTGCTGGGATTATAGGCATGAGCCACTGCACCCAAACTTGGGATTCTTTTTTTTTTTTTTGAGTTGGAGTCACACTCTGTCGCCCAGGCTAGAGTGCGGTGGCTCCTGGCCACTGCAGCCTCAACCTGCTGGACTCCAGCGATCCTTCCAAGTAACTGGAGTGTGCTACCATGTCCAGCTAATTTTTGATTTATTGTAGAGATGAGGTCTCGCCAGGTCGCCCAGGTGGGTTTCAAACCCGTGGGCTCAGGCAATTCACTCACCTTGGCCTCCCAAGGTGCTGGGATTATAGGCTGAGCCATCGAGCCTGGTCTAATTTGGCATTCTTAATGTAAAAGTATGAAGTTATTTCCTTAAGACAACAAGTGACTGAAAAAGATATATCTAAAGGCAGTAAGAAAACTAGATACAGAAAAATTTTACAGATACTTCAGGAGTTACTGGGAAACACCCAAATTTTCATTAATAGAGAATGGATAAACAAAACGTGGCATATTTATATAATGTAATACTACATAGCAATAAAAAAGAATAAGTTGTTGATATACTTCTGGAAATGAGGACACAGAGGAACTTTCTGTGGTGTAAGAAGTGCTATCTTGATTGGGGTGCTGGATGCTTGAGTAAATGTATGTCTCAAAATTAATAGAAATAACAGCTGTAAATACTGTAAATGTACATAATGTCACTTATTTTGTACATTTTAAAATGGTTAAAAAGGCCAGGCATGGTGGCTCACGCCTGTAATCCCAGCACTTTTGGACTCTGAGACAGATGATCACTTAAGGCCCGAAGTTTGAGACCAATAAAGCAAGACCCTGTTTCTACCAAAAACTAAAACAAAACAAAACAAAAATAAAAACAAAAAAATCCCAAGCTGAGTGCAGTGACAGGGGCCCGTAATCCCAAATACTCTGAAGCCTAGGTAAGAGAATCACATGAGCCTAGAAATTGGAAGCTGTAGTGAACTATAAACACGCCACTGCACTGTAGCTTGGGCCACTGAGCAAGACCCTGTTTGCACTTTTAAAAAAAATTTAAGACTGGGCCTATAATCCAAGCACTTTGGGAGGCCAAGAGAGGAATTGCCTGAGTCCTGAAGGCTGAGGCTGTGGTAAGTCGTGATCATGCCACTGTACTCCAGCTTGGGCAACAGAGTGAGACCCCAATTTAAAAAAAAAAAAAAAAAAGCAAATAGCAAATTTTATATTATGTATGATCTACCACAACAAAAATTTTAAAAGTGTCCAGGCATTCACACCTATAATCCCAGCACTTTGGGAGGCAGAGGACAGAGAATTGCCAGAGCAAAGGGGTTCAAAACCAGCCTGGGTAACTTGGCGAGACCTTGTCTCTACAACAAATTAAAAAATTAGCCGGGTATGGTGGTGCACACCTGTAGTTAGAGCTACTTGGAAGGCTGAGGTGGAGAGAATACCTGAGCCCAGCAGGCTGAGGTGGCTGTGAGCATACCAACACACTAACCCTAACCCACAATTAAAAAAATTTTTTTCTTAAAGTAATGATTCACCAAAACCCAACTGAGATGTCGTGTCAACAAAGAAAAAAAGGGCAAAAGATCAAATACTCAAAACTCACCATTTACATTACTTGTTTAATGGATCAGTATTTGTCGGGAGGTAAAAAGAAATACAGAAAGTCAGGCTCAGTGGCTCATATACTGGGCTGGGACTATAGAATCCAAGCTACTTAGTTGTCTAAGGCAGGAGGATTGCCTGAGCCTAGTAGTTCAAATCCAGCCTGGGCAACATGGGGAGATTCTGTCTTTAAAAAAAAAAAAAAAGGCACAGCAATAGCTACCATTTGAATGCCTATAAAAATGAGGCATCATGGCCCACATACCAAGTTTAACTCATATCTCAATAATTTTATATAATAGGAACTAATTATAACTCTCAATTCAGTTTAAAAACCTCATTAAGAAACGAACCTGAGTTTAAAAAGCTAGGGAAAGTATTAAGGTAGTCTCTTTGGGCATAAAATTTGGTTGCTTTAAGCTACACCAGGATAATTAAAGACTTACTAATCCAAAGGTCCAAAAAGCATGCGAATTAGAAATCAACTAAAGATAAGTAAACACTGTTTAAATATTAACCCCTATAAAACACAATAAAAATATTTAAAGAAACTACCTGAAGAGCACAGTGTTCACTAACTGGGGAATGGGCCACCTAAGACCCAATCCTTACCACTAAACAATATGTCCATGTAATGAATACTTAAGTGTACCCCTGAATCTAAATGAAGAGAGAAAACAAGAGGAAAACAATATTTAAAAGCTCAGATATCTGTAAAAAATAGGAGACAAACAAGTCATCTCAAATGACTGTTAAGAGAAACTATGTACCAATCTGAATCTGACCTGCTGGATGCATATGGTAAGAATTATTTTCTATTTCTTCTCGGTCATCTTGCAGTGACTCATCATGAAAAGAGGTTTCTTCACTGCTTCCTTCCAGTCCATTTCGCAAACCAACACGCATGTTTAATGCAACAATGGTATCATCCACACTGTTGCTATTGTTGTGTTTATTTCCAGCACTTTCTGGGGTTTGAGGAATAGGTTTGGCAATAGGGTTAGTATAAAAACGTGACACAAGAGAGTCGTCATCTCCATCCTGCTGATGATTCTCATCAACAGGTTTGCTCAGGAAACTAAATCTGAAAAGAAAGAAAAGAATATCTTAGGCCCTTGTAGTGGTAATAACAATGATAACAGCTAATTCTTTTTTTTTTTTTGAGTTGGAGTCTCACTCGGTCGCCCAGACTGGAGTGCAGTGGCTGCTCCTGGCCACCGCAGCCTCGCCTGCTGGGTTCCGGCGATCCTTCCACCTCAGCCTTCCAGGTAGCCAGAATTACAGGCATGCGCTACCATGCCCGGCTGATTTTTTTATTTATTGTAGAGATGAGGTCTCGCTGCCCAGGCGGGTCTTGAACCACGGGCTCAGGCAATCCACTCACCTCAGCCTCCCAAAGGCACGGGATTACAGGCTGAGCCACCGAGCCTGGCGATAACAGCTAATTCTTACTGAGTATTTACTAAGTGCCTGACATTGTTTTAGATAGTTCTATGTATTAAAAATTCACTTAATATTTAGTCATCCTGTGAAACAGGTTATAATTATTCTCTATTTTATATAAAAGGATACTAAGGCACAGAAAAATAAGTTCTTCAATGTCACAAAGCTATAAGTACTAGAGTTGCGTTTAACACACAAAATACTGCTGTAGATTTAATTTTATAAATGAATGGATCTGAGCAGTTCAACTTTTGGTTTAAAGAAAAAAAGGTATGTTATGTGGGATCAAATAATTGGTTGTTAATTTCAAGATAAAAAACTGAAAAACATTTTACATTTGTAATATTACAATCAGAAGATGTTAGAAAATACTTTGTTAAATGAAACTAGAATTTTATCCAAAAAGACAAAAACAAGAGTACAAAGATATAGATACAAAGAATGTTTATTAGTCTGAGGTATTATTCTGAGTAGATGAGTATCAAATAATCTAAATTCCACTAATAGAGAACTGGTTATCTTACATTCACAATAACAACTATAAAATAATTTTTTAAAAAAGAGGAGGAAAATATATTCATATAGATATGGAAAGGCATTTATTAAAAAACAGAAATAAGCAAGTTACAGAATATTATTCATACACAATCTTTATAACATATATTTACTGGAATATATTTATTTTACAAAATTTCTAAAGTTGAAGACTATATACCAAACTATTAAGAATCAGTGTATATACTTTCACCTCCTCTTTTATACACTCTATACTGATTTTTTTGTTTGGTTACAATGACTAGGAATCGCTTTAATAATAATCACAGACAAAACAGCCCTTATTTTAAGGGGATGAGAGGTGTCAAATGTATACTCACCTTTCTGAGACAATATACATTGATACTAACACAGATCGTCAGAACTAAACCAAAACTCCAATACTAGCCGGGCTTGGTGGCTCAGCCTGTAATCCCAGCGCTTTGGGAGGCTGAGGTGAGTGGATTGCCTGAGCCCGTGGGGTTGTGACCTGCCTGGGCAACTTGGCGAGACCTCATCTCTACAATAAATGAAAAAATTAGCCGGGTGTGGTAGAGCACGCCTGTAGTTCCAGCTACTTGGAAGGCTGAGATGGAAAGATCACCGGAGCCCAGCAGGTGGAGGCTGCGGTGGCCGGGAGCGGCCACTACATTCTAGTCTGGGTGATGGAGTGAGACTCCAACTCAAAAAACAAAAACAAAAACAAAACTCCAATACTTTTAATGTTTAAAGAATTCAAGGCTGGGTGTGGTAGCTCACACCTATTATCCCAGCACTTTGGGAGGCAGAGGAGAAAGGATTGCCTGAGCACAGGGGTTCAAAACCAGCCTGGGCTACTTGGCAAGTCCTTGTCTTTACAATAAATAAAAAAATTAGCCGGGCGTGGTGGCGAACACCTGTAGTTACAGCTACTGGAAGGCTGAGGTGGAGGGAACCTGAGCCCAGCAGGTTGAGGTGGCTGTGAACATACCAATGCACTCCAGGCTGGGTGACAGAATGAGACTCCAACTCAAAAAAAAAAAAAAATTTCAAGAAGTAAAATAGGATTTAATTTCCAGGTGCTCATTACCTATAATACTTCTATATACCATTCACCAAAGTTTATACATTTTCACAAAATTCTAAGCTCAGAATGTTTTCAAAATGTGAATATGGTTCTCAACCAAGAACAACTCAAAACAGAATTAAGTTTACCTCTCTCCATTTTCTGGATATTCGGATGGTGAAGCTAGATCTTCTGAATCACGATTAACAGGAGAAAAGAGATTGCTATTATTAAGGTTCTTCAAAACCAACTTCTTAATGCTCTTTCTATAAATAGAGACCAAAAAGAAAAAGAAAAAAATACCTTAGACATATAGTTATGTCACAGACATTATCTTAAAAACTAAAGTCCAAAAGTGCCTTTTGCTTCACTCTTATACACCTAAAAATGACCTAGCAAGTTTCATTTATAAACTCTTCCTAGACATGGATATAACCAGAAAATAAAGCCTCAAATATATTGCACTCTGGTGTTTGGGAGAATAAAGCTAAGTATATCAAATCAAAGGGGGAAAACCCCATGAGAACTACCCTTCTCCAGACACCCTAAGCACTTGATTGTGATGCTTCGTTTACTCAAACTATGTTTGTATTTCAATTCTTTCTATACATGTGTTCTATCTTTAAATTTTTTTCTTTTCTCTTTTCTTGGCAGACAGGATTTATGACTGTCTTTCACAGAAGTCAGCATGCTGTCTTGAAGCAAATGGGAATAATTATTTGCTGACTAAATGAAAAAGATTTTGCTTTTCACTTTCTTTGGTTTGCCCCCAATTTTTTTTTAAAAGAGGACAAGAAAGTAATGGAGTGAAAGACCATAATATCTAATGATGCAAATGATCAAAATGCTCAAAAAGCAGGTTTCTGAACAGCAGGTTTATTTAAGGCAAGAATTTCTTATAGTATACAGACTTCAAGTAGAAGAATCGTATGAAAGATTATGTATCATAATCAACTTCCACTTAAAACCCATTGGATGAACTATGGGCTCCATTTCATCTTTCTAAAAAAGGCAGAAGTCCATGTATGTTAAACTATACCCACACAGGCCACTCTCATATATTTTTATATTTCTAATCTCAACAACTGAATAACATGCTAACAAACAGTAGTGTTTGTTCCAAACCTACATATGCTAGTTATACTCTTTATTGTAATGATGTAATTGAGTATTACATAAGCCTATAAAAAAGGCACTTGACAATAAAAAACTGTTTCTTTGAAAAAAACTAAACTGAGATTTGCCTTCCCATTAATGGTGGCTAAAACAATGTAGACTAGTCTCCCTAGGAAGGATAAGAAGAGAAGTTACAGCTGTGTGTAGGTACTGAGGACCAACAAAATAGTAAAGACTGAACCAGCATCCTGTGGGCAGGGAGGGGAGGAGGGCGGCTGCACAGGGAGGTGTCCTGTATTTTGACTTTCTTCTGGAGATTTTTCTGATTCCAAGGGGAAGGCTAAGAAACTGGTGGTACTCTCAACAGTCTTATGAGATTAGAGAGACAGAAGTCCAGGATCACCAATGGAGAATGGGGGTACTAGTAAATACCACTTGTTCTGTGTTGTGACCTGGAAAGTCTCTACCCCAGAAGAGGGAACTAAAAGTTTAAATATGCTCAGAGTAATAAATTCAGCTCTGAATCATTTTCATGATTACAGGTATTAAAAAAAAATCTTATCTGAATGTCAATAACTTCATCCTTGAACTCCCGTTATTACTACAGTTTTGTAAATATAACAACATACAATTTTTAAAAACAAGATGCAATAGGAAACAAGACATTTTTCAAAGAAGATAAACAATAAGTACATGATAAGATGCTCAACATCTTTAGTTCAAGTGAAATGCAAATCAAAGCCACACTTCACACCTACTCAGATGGTTATTCTCAACAAACAAACTGGAAGATAACGAGTGCTGATGAGGGGAAATTGAATACTACTGTGGTAATGTAAAATGTTGCAGCTACTACAGAAAATACTTTGGCAGTTCCACAAAAGGTTAAACACAGAATTAACATATGACTAATTCCAGTCCTAGATATTTACTCCAAAAAGGTAAAAACAGAGACTTAGAGAGACCAAAATTCATAGTGGCATTGTCACAACACTTAAAAGGTGGAAAAGTGATCACCCACAGATGAATGGATAAACAAAATGTGGTATATGCATACAACGGGATATTATTGAGCCATAAAAAGGAAGGAAGTTCTATAAATGCTACAACCTACATGAATCTTGAAAACGTGCTAAATGAAATAAGACATGAAAAATGTTATACGATTCTCCTTATGTGACGTATTTTTTTAAATTTTTAAATTATTTTTTTGTTTAAAGATGTGGGGTACAATTCAGGGTTAGGTATACAAATGTTCCTTATGCAAGTACCCTGAAATATCTTAAATAGGCACATTCATACAGACAGAGGTTACCAAGACTTGAGAGATGAGGAAAAAAGGAATTATTGCTTAATGGGATCAGAGTTTGGGATGATGACGTTTTTGGAAATAGGGATCATGGTTATACAATACTGTCAATACTGTAAATGTAAATAATGTCACTGATTTTGTAATGTCACTGATTTTGTACATTTTAAAATGGTTAAAAAGGCCAGGTATGGTAGCTCACGTCTGTAATCCCAGCACTTTTGGAGTCTGAGACAAGATGATCACTTGAGTCCCGAAGTTTGAGACCAATAAAGCAAGACCCCGTTTCCACCAAAAACTAAAACAAAACAAAACAAAAACAAAAACAAAAAACCCAAGCTGAGTGTGGTGACAGGGGCCTGTAATTCCAAATACTCTGGAGGCTAGGTAAGAGAATCACATGAGCCTAGAAATTGGAGGCTGCAGTGAACTATAAACACACCACTGCACTTTAGCCTGGGCCACAGACCAAGACCCTGTTTGAACTTTAAAAAGAAAAGTTAAGGCTGGGCCTATAATCCAAGCACTTTGGGAGGCCAAGAGAGGATTGCCTGGGTCCTGAAGACTGAGGCTGTGGTAAGTCGTGATCATGCCACTGCACTCCAGCTTGGGCAACAGCGTGAGACCCCAACTTAAAAAAAATAAAAGGAAATAGTAAATTTTGTATTATGTATGATCTATCACAATAAAAAATTGAAAAGTGGCTGGGCACGGTGGCTCACGTCTATAATCCCAGCACTTTGGGAGGCCGAGGCAAGAGGATTGCCTGAGCCCACAGATTCGAGACCAGCCTGGGCAATTTGGCGGGAACTCGTCTCTACAATAAATCAAAAAATTAGCTGGGATTGGTGGCCCGTGCCTATAGTTCCAACTACCTTGAAGGTTGAGGCAGAAGGATCACCTGAGCCCAGCAGGTCGAGACTCAGTGGCCCTGAGCGTGCCACTGCACTCCAGCCTGGATGACAGAATGAGATTCCAACTCAAACAATAAATAAATAAAATAATTTTAAAAATCAGTATGTATATAGCTACATGATTAGCAAACTTGGCCTAATTTAAGAGTACTGTACTCAATCACTAAAAGGTATATATTTTTTCTTTTTTTTGAGTTGGAGTCTCACTCTGCCGCCCAGACTGGAGCGCAGTGGTACGCTCCCGGCCACCGCAGCCTCGACCTGCTGGGCTCCGGCGAACCTTCCGCTTCAGCCTTCCAAGTAGCTGGAACTACAGGCATGCGCTACCACGCCCGGCTAATTTTTTGATTTATTGTAGAGATAAAGTCTTGCCAAGTTGCACAGGCGGGTCTCGAACCCACGGGCTCAGGCAATCCACTCACCTCAGCCTCCCAAAGCCAAGGGGTTACAGGCTGAGCCACCGAGCACGGCTGAAGTAACATCTTCTACGTTTTACACTTAAACTTGATTTTGTAACTAATAGGAGTGACTATAGATTGTAATGGATCTTACAGCTATGCTATTATTTGACCTGCATAGGACAAATATATCCCATATATTATGAAATTTTCTCTGTTTATAATGGCCAATATTAAAAGAATAATTAAAAAGGAGAGAAAAGAAGGAGAAATAAAAATGAATCCTGAAAAAAACGCAAGAAGGCAAAAGCATAAATCAAAAGCATATATGTGAATAATTGAGAAAGATGATAAATGCAAGCTATTATCTGAAAGAAAATTAAATGTATTTTAATTACTTCATTTGGGCATATAATTATGTGAATATAAAATTGAAATGTATTAAATGTATTCGCTTCTCAGAACTCTAAACGCAGAGAAATCTTCAGCATACTCTAGAATATTGCCTTTCTGTATACACAATTATTTTATAGTTAAGTACAACTATACTAGTATTGATTCCTAAAAATGTGTTTATATATTAAAAGTATTGATATTTACATGAAAATGATGACATTTTACAAGTATTAGAGACACAGGAAAGGCATTGGATTAAGTATATTATTAATTTCATAGCTTCCTATTTTTAGATAAATTGTCATGCACAAATATATTTTTAGAACAATATTGAATTCAGAAATATGATACAATCATTATTTCCATAAACCCGTGTTAAGATTAATACTAAAATTAATTACATGAAGTGAATAAAAATTCACTAGGTCTGTATATGAGCCAACAGGTAGCCCTGATATATGAGTTGCC